TCATGTCTGCTGGTAGCGCAAGCCAGTTCCCGCCCTTCTCCCACTCGCCCCCAAAGCCCCCCTCCCCATCCCACTTCTCATCCATTTCCATGTGGCGACTTTTCATCAGTGAAGTGCCTTCCTGGCCCAACTACCCCCTGTTCCCACCCCACCTACTCCCTCTGCCACTCACTGAATCGATGCAGCATTAAGAGGGAGGGAGAAAGAGAGAGAGAGAGAGAGAGAGGGGGCTGAAACCATCCTTCCTTCCTTCCTTCCTCCTACATGCACCACCCCTTTGGCTGTTGCAGAAGTGGTATGTTCCACAGCAAGAACTGCAGAAGTTGAGAGAGCACATTGTTTGTAATCTGGCATTGCAGGGGTCACTTCCTGGCTCATGTGTCCGCTCCCTGAGCCCCACGCCGATCCCTTCTTTTCCCCCTCCTGCCTGTGTGTCCATGAATTGGCCAAGTAGCCTAGGGCTTTTGGACAAACCCTGTTCTTCTCCTTTTGTGTAGGAAAGCTTCAACATCTGAAAACAATCAAATAATCTGGGCACAATGCATCTCTTCATAGAGGGGTGCTGGTGGTTCCCAGATGAGCAGGAGGATTAAGTGGAGGCCATAAGGGAAAGAAAAAAGACAAATGGGGATGGGGGCTACTCAGCTGAGGAGGGTGGGAGCAGCTTACTGTTATTAGATTTTCATAGCAAGATGTATATGTGTATAGGTCATTTTTGAATGACGGATTGTTTTGGGAACAGGAAAGATATCTGAACACTTTCTCAAAGAGTAATATGAGGAGTCATGTCAGACTCAGAGTTTCTGAGTCAGTGATTCCAACTCACTTGATGCGGAATGGACCCATTACAGTGAAAACAACAACATTAAAATGAACTGTTGTCTGTTCATCTTAATTGTAGAAAACATTAATGACCTCTAAATAGTTCCGGTGCTTTAGGCTACTTAAAGAAATAGTTAGACTTTTTTCTTTTCTTTTCTTTTAAGCTAGGCTAGCTGTTTTCCTCTTTTTCAGTCTTTATGCTAAGCTATGCCAACTAGTTGATGGTGGTAGTTATGTATTTATCACATATTAATGAGAGTGGTGTCAATCTTCTCATTAAATCCCTGCAAGAAAGCAAAAAAGCATATTTCTCAAAATGTCAAACTATTCTTTTATATATAGTAATAAAATTACCAATATGAGATTATGATTTTGTTTCTCTATCCCTTATACTGTACATAAATGCAGACAAACGCCTGTATGTACATGCCCACACATACACAGTTTTTCTTCTGCGTCTCTCATGCTGTTCCTTCTCATCCCCATGAGAATGGTAAATAGTCATCTGTAACTTCCCCTCCAACATATTCATTAATCCCTTCTATCCTGTGGGGCTGGATGATGATTACAGGGAAGCCAACTGAAGCCGCCCAAATAAACACCCCTCAGGCAGCAACAAAGGCCTGTCCACCTCACCCTAAACACAGCTTCCCCAGCTAGATCAGGTTTCAATCAAACCCATACACAACATACAAACAATAGGAAGTAACAGAGTCTTGAGTGCTGAAAAAACTAACTGTGGCTGAAACCAATTTAGTTTCCCATTTTCTAGTTGAGACTTTAGGAACTGGTACAAATTTACTGTAAAGCAGATCTTGAGCCTCAACTGTAATCAGACCAAGTTTCAAACCTAACAGCAAATCTAAAGTGGAGTGAAAGTCCATAGGCTCAAAACATGTAATATACTAGATGTAAAAATGTGCCTTATGAAACAAGTGTTCTTTAAAGTATAGACATTTTGCTTCTGCTCATTACAAGCATAGGGATAGCACATGTGTTTTCTCCTGTTAAAAAAAATTTCCGCTGCAAGTTTTGGATGCCCCCATAGCTCACATTCTGGCCATTTAGGGCACTTAGATAATTCCAGAGATGTGTTTCTCTGAAGGGCTTTCCAGTCATAATGACCTTCCATCTGAACCAACATCCTCATGCGTAGCCCCAAGACTTGCTCTTAAAGCTTGACACATGTTACTCATTCGCATCTCTCTTCTAAAAAATTCTTAAAATAGATTTCTGGAAAAAGAAAATCTCTTCATGCTACATAAATAACACCACAGATTTCTCAGCAAGGGTTCTGAGAAATCAATACATTTGCATGTTAGGTTTTACACTGGTTATATCCATACCATATACATGCAGTCAGATAGAGAGAGAGTGAGAGAGAGACAGAGAGCTAGTTCATAACACAGTCACACATGCCAGAAGGCCCTTACACTTCCTTCCCCTCAAGCCACTACACCTTTTCTACTCACCACCCTGCAATTAGCATCCCTAAAAGTTGCAGGCTTCCGAGGCCAGGCCCACACTAATCATAGGTATGTATTGTTATGTTCAGCTGCCATGTCTTTAAAAATCAGCACCTCTTGCTTATGCCACACCTCTTGGCCCAGATTGCCAAGAGTCCACTGTCACTGTCTGATGGGTCTCTCAGCTAAAACTGGAGAGGATCCTTCCTGGAAACTCTATAGGTGTGTTTTTTAAGAATGAAGAGAAACAACATTTTACCGCTCTGAAAGCCCAAGTCCGCACATCCCAAATTGCAGTAACCTAAACAGTTAAAAGTAACTGAGAAAATGGAAGGAGTTAAAGCAAACATAAGTCAGTGGATACTAAGAGCAAGTTATTTACCACAAGCTGTCATCAATTATCTTTGGGTCTTCACCACAAGATGGCCTAAGGTTTCTGCAGAGTGTATGGCAGCAGCTACACAGATACTGAATTTCCTTTCTGTACAAAAACAGGCCTTTACTTCTGTTCTCTTGTGACCAAAGGCCACCTGCTGTTGGAAGCTGGTGATCACATCACCTGTGTGTGTCAGATCATCATCAGAGTCGAGTCATATAGTCCAATACTAGGAATGAATCTCCTGTGCTATGCTGAATGAAAGTTATTATTATTATTAGTCAGGAGAAAGATACTGCAAGTTTGTCTCTCATCATGGTGAAGTCAGTGAATTTTTCATGCTGAAATATGTCAAACCTCATTTTGCCATAAGCGATGGCAAAATGTTTATCATCTGGCACTCAAAATAAACATCACAGTCCATTACCTACACCTACACAGGTCTACATAACCTATTTGGCATTGTTGTCAATATTATAAAGTCTCAAGTAAGCTTTGATTAATGCATTTCTAATCTTAAATCGGTTTGTAAAATGACTGTCGGGCTAAAATAATCAGTAAACAAAAAAAGAAACAAATCAAATCACATTAAACTATAATCTGCAAATCATTTCAGCCATCCTTCCTGAAAGCCAAGTAAGATTCTATTTGTGTTGGACTCTGCGGAATGAGGTTTGTGTTTCCCTTAACACATCTTATATTCTGTCGTTGGTTATTATCAGTACAAGAATGTTAGCTTACCATCTTAAAGAAAACTGAGATGACATTTAAAGAGAGAAGTCAAGTGATGACTCGACAAACCTCCTGTTGCTTTTTTTAAATACACTAGTGTGGTGGGTGAAGTGTGTGAAAAACACAGGAAATGCACCAAGACATTCATATTTGTGAGATGTATGTGAAAGATGACTGACTTCCGGAACTCTGAATATTCTAACAGATAAACACTCCAGTGGAAAAATTCATGGTCATTGCTCTTTCTGGTCTGTTTGAAGCCAGGTACACTTTACTTGGATTTGTGAACTTGGCCATGACAACTGTAAACCAATTTAAAAGGAAGTAGTACAGACAAGTGATCACTAAAAGGCTGACAAATACTACAGTATGTTCTCTAATTTGATTACTCAATGTGGGGCTTTTTAGCATTGCAAATTTTGTGTGTAAACAAGCACATGACATTCATATCAGGCTGACATCTGTGCTTTTACTGGGAAAATAATCCCAAGAGAAAGTTTACCTTTGCTTGCAAGCAGTCATCAGGATAGCATTACACACCTCAGACAGAAAATCTAATCAAATAGCCAATCAAAGGAAGTCGATAATACATCTCAGGACTGCACATTTGAGGGGCCTACATACCTAGGCTATCTATATACAGTGACACGGATGGGTGTTTTATATGTCTGCAACATAAGGCTGTGGCACACAAGCTGTACGAAAGCCAGAGAAATACAAAGAAACTTCTCACACAACATGCTGTCACTATGACAACCAGGCAGAATCATTTAGCCTGATCTCTTGCCATTCCACACAGCACAGAAATCCAATAGCATTTAAGTCTTATGCACCCAGGCCACCGATTCACTCTGCAAGGTTTTTAATACATTTGCAAATAAGGTTCATAGGTGCACATGGTGATTTAGTAATTTATTTATTTATTTAATTTGTAACTTCCTTGGCAGTTTTATTTTGGAGGACGCTTCAGCTGCCCACATAGACCTTGGGGTACAGAGTCAGGCAGCTTTAACTATGTGATTAGAATTATGTGTACCTAGGCTATTTTTGTCCCCTCCTTAAATTTGTTATTGTTAGTTCAAAACCCCTCATTGTAGCGCAGTAGTCATGGGGGTTAATCTCATGTCTCGTATTTTTAAAATTCACCAGGCTATTGCAATACTAAAACAATACACTCAGCCATTTCAAAATTAGCCCTAAGAAGAGATTTCTCATTTTGTGACTTGCCTTTCTTTCTCTCACCCTTTCAATTCTACGTTTTGTCTTAATTGAAAAATAAACACAATATGCTCTTGAATATGATTTTAGCCACCTAAATCATGAGGGGGAGCTGATGTAATTCCACGTGCTGTAGCATTCGTGGCTGTGTACATTTAAAGCATTTTCCCACAATTTCACATCAAGATTTTTAAATGTGGTTCGGGGGCGGTCGATCACGGTAAAACTGCTTAATGAAAGAAAACAAGAGAAATTGTTAATGGCCGAGTCTGCATCTCAGCCCAAGTCCTTCCTCCAGATTATTTTCTACTTTGCGTGCTATCACACACAGACGCTTCCCTCTTGTATCAATGCGTGATTGAAGGGAAACTTCTTTTGGGAAGTGCGGGACTACTTTAGGTCAGCTTCGGCAAGGAACACTCCTAACTTACTGCAGACGACTACAATGGAATGCCCTTTAGCGCGATATACGTTACTATTCAACAAAATACAATAAACTGTGTCTTGGTTGAGCACATTTATCGCAAGATTGTTATGTTTTTACTACGCCGCGGAAGGATCTAACTTTCTCAAGCGAGGGTCGACACATCCGCCCAGTTTTCCGATGTTTCATTGCCCCCGAGTTAAAAATGGAGTTCGATTAAAGCAGATGTCCACAAACTTCTGAAGGAAATTTCAAGTCCCTGTGATTTTAGCTTAGGCGTCAATATTAATATTTGAAAACCGCGGTCCTCTTTTTGGGCTTTGGATGCCTTTACAGCAAATTACTCGGACACGTTGACGGAGCAACGCTGCACAGCGCTTTTTCAAGTACTGTCCTGGACCTGAAGTTGGCGAATGGATGCTCGACAGCCAGCCATAAATAACCTGCCAAACCTTACAGTCTACAACATTTTGTAATTTCCTTGCGGATCTATATACATTTTTGCAAACCGTGGATTTGTGTTTGTTGCAGAGGATGATACGGATAGCTCATTTGTTGTGGTCGGATTTTACTTCCAGGGAGGATAAAATGAATCAACGGTTGTCATTCCTCCTCGCGATTTAACATTAGTTCCAGCCTGCAAAGCTAACGTTAAGCTAGCTTCACTTGGTTTTCACAGGGACGCTTAGTTAGGCATGCACCATTGTACGTCGTTTACTTACTATCCAAAATAGGAGTAATTTCTACATGTGAAGGAAAATGGTGATATTTGTGGTATTTTATCCCGCCGTCACTGCGCCGTCGATGCTATTGCTAGGATTTGGATCCCCGTGAGGAAAAAAATGAGTGAAGATTCAACAAATCCAAACAACGAGTAAGTACTGTTTATACACTTTATTTACATACACAGCATACAGCTGCAATAGTATGTCCTCACATATCTTTTTATGTTAATACACGCTTCCCTCGGTGAGCAGTACACAGTCATAAATGACGTTTATAAACGAGCAATGGAGGTATTTTATCACCTTACTTTACCGATATCAACAACAGGAAACACAGACTTATGATCTTTTGTTTGTACTAGATTGTAAGATAATAGAAAGGTAGGTGGATGGATGGATGCATAGATTACACGAGCTTGCGAAGAACGTGATAAGCAATGGCATAGGCCCATAGTAAAAACAATTATATATATTCATATATACATATATATATAAATGTAGCAAACGAACATGTCTGCTGTGATAATTCATAGCAGGGCACTGTATTTTGAGTATGTTAATGGTTGCAAATGTATGCTAATATTAACTGGAAAATGATATGCCCATGGTATTTATTATTGTTTTAAAGTTTTGCATTTACTTTGCAAGTTAAAGACAGCAGTAATCCAGGCTAAATATTATTTTATATAAGTTACATGCCAATCAGTACATCATGATCCCATAGCGTTATATTGACAATCTAGATCTGTGTGTAGTTGTCGTCCGCCATGATTTTGGAACATAACCACGGATTAAAATTGTGTAGATCATGTTGGTTTTTCCGTCGAGCCTTTCTTTAACAAAAACCCTTTCGAGCCGATTGCGGTTATGTCTGCGTTGAAAAGCTGAAGATGCCATTTTTTTTTCTCAATCACCCTCATTTACATATCACAATCTCCATTCATAAAAACGTTTAAAAGAGGCGTCACATTCACGCCCAAATTCCGACAAGTCACGGATGTCTATTGTAATCGGTACATGAGGTGTTTTTGTACATGTCTTTCCCATTTCCAGTCGCGTTTTGGTATTGTTTTAACGGGCCGATCCCTTGTGTGCGCTTGTTGACAGTCAGTGAGAAAGATCTGCTTCGGGAGGTGCTGCGGTCACATGATCCCCTCCATTCATAAAGTACCTGCCTGCCCATTCACAGCACTGTACACTGTTTCGCATTGCACCGATCATCACACAAAGATCACATTTCCTGCATTTACTGTACAACGCATCAAGTAAAAACACCAGAGCTCGTCTCTGGGCGTTTATTGTGCATAAGCCTCGAACATGTTTTATTTAACCGACTGTTTCTTCACTAGCTCAGAGGATTTTCTTTGATGTATTTGATGAAGTCAAGCCCTTTTCAGCCATTTACAGTGCCATGGTTTAATATTCGAAACACACCCATGTTTTCCCCATTCTGTCTGTTTGGCCTTTATGAAGCTGATTGGTTTAATGCATGGAGATTTTGTCCTTGAGCCAATCTTCAGTTTTTTATGTAACATATGTCATGCAGTTCTTTGTCCTCCCGTCAAGCCACACCAAATAGATTACAGTTTAACCACTCCCTGTCAGTTAATGAGATACTGTTTTATGGAAATTCTTATAAACTGATAACGTATGATTTTAACTAAAATTGTATAATTTAGAATATCTTATGCTAGTGCAAAGTCTGATCCTGTTAACCTCTCGTGAATGAGATCGCAGTGAAATTTAACCATTCCTAAATTTGATGTGACTCCTTTCAGTAACATTAGGGACACATCACAGAGCCAAGGCCCCACTTTGGGAATTACTGTAGGCTACAGATCATTAGCAGTGTGTGAACTACTGATGTTTCTGGGTTTCTTCCACTCTGCATGATGGCAGCAGCTAAGATGGTGAAGCAATTCAAACGTTGTTGCTATGATTCCCCCACCTTTCTGCCTGTTGTATGATTCATAGTAATGGAGTGAACAGAATACTGATTGTTGGCTGAATGGTTTATTTGTGCTGAAGAGGGTCTCCTCAATATAATTTTTCTGACTTAGCTATTCCCCAGAAAATCTGACATTATGCCTTGTGCATTGTGTGTGTGCGTGTGTTTTTTATTTTTTTATTTTTATTAAGCGTTAGGGATAACAATCGCAGTTGTATGTCCCATTTTACATTGTGACACTGTGCTGTCTTCAGTTAATAAGATGAATTCAGGTCTTTGATGAGTCACTTACCTAATTCTTAAAGCCTTTTCTTTAATAGATGGGAAATGTTTATATAAACCCTGGGTTTCTGTTGACCTGTGCTTCTGCGTGTTCTCCTGTAGCCCTCACTGTAAACATTTAATTTAGAAATCTTCACAAAATGTGTGACGAGATAGTCATAAAGTAGTTATGTCTGAATGATGGGTGGTAAACCAGACTACACACAGCATACCCTGTCCTGAGAACATGCTACTTGGCCTTGGTGCAACTATGTTGACAAGACTGAAATGACAAGAAGGCACATAAAACCTTGTCAGAGTTTGGTTTGCGTCTTCTCTGAGACGTGTGGTGGTGTGTGTAAGGCTATGGTCAGGTGATAATGTATATTATAGTCTGTGTGGGCCTAGAGACTGAGTTTTGCTGAAATTATTGCATGGCCTCATTAATTTGTTTCAGTGAAGGTCAGTTCTCTTAATCCTCCATTAAACATAGGGTATGGCCTCGTTGTTTTGGATTCCTGCAGTGCTATGCTATTGTCTTTTGCCAGTGAGGTGATTCCTCTCTCTTTGTCCTCTTCCTATCTGTGTGATTGATTTGACAACTCAGTGTTTTATCTGCCAGGGTGGGTGTTGTGATCTTATCACCTGAGGGCTGTTTTGTGCTCCCATTCCTGTTGCAGAACTTTCTACACACATTCCCCCCAAACAACCCCAATCATGTCCTGAAATGACAAAGGGAGACAGCCACTTCAGCTGTTACGGCTAGTGCTTTATGGCCTGGGTAATTGCCTATATCCTTTGGCCCTTATGTTAAACTAAATTTCCTGGACCTTTTTATAGATGGTATTATTTGGGGTTATTGCAAGTTGTTGGATATGACTTTCCTGAGCACTTTAGATTTACTAACTGCCCTAGTCTAAACTATAGACTACCTTTGACAAAGTCTGCTGAGCTGAACACATCTTTGGTTTTGCTTCTGTATTCTTTGGGGGAAGTGTTGCTTGTGACTATAGTGGTTTACACAGGTCTGTGAAATGTGCTATTTGACAAGGGTACTTGTAACAGCATTTTACTTTACTGGCTGCTAGGCACATTTTCACATTTTAATAGATTTAGGTGTACATAGTATATTGTAAATGTTAAGGTTTCTTCACATTAAATCTTTCTCTATTTTATCCTTTTTACTAAAACACTGTTGCATAATCCTGAAATGTGTTATGTATGTATATATGTTATGTATACAATATTTGTGCCCGTGTGTGCTGGTTCTAGCTACTGTTGTGTTTGTCTGATTAAAGACAATGATTCCCTGTATAACCACAGGGCTTGGACTATCTGTAACAGAGACAAGCTAACAAACTGAACAGGCCTTGTATAGTGGTAGACGGTGCCATTCCCATGGCCAGATTCAGGGCTGGATTCTGTGTATTTTAAACCTGAGCCACTTCCCTCTTATAATTTTCATTTCCTCTTCAAGTATTTTAGGAGCATGCATAAATGTCAACAGTGTATCTGAAACATATTTCAAACCAGTTTTGTTATTTTTAAATACAACGACCTGGTGTGGTCTCAAGCTGTGGGTATAGGCTGTGAAACCTACATTAAAACACTTCCTGGTTGTTCTGTTTGTTTGTTTGGTCTGCATCACATCCAGATAGCAGAGCTTGTATTTATTTCTTTGTCAGGGAGGGCCTCTGATCTTCACAGACCATATCTCAATGCCTCTAAGAAGTGCTTTTAGCACTAAGTGTCTGAATTGTGGATATTGTTTTCAGTTGTGCTGCATGCAAGAGCATGAAGGCTGGGCCTTGTTGCGAACTCTTTGCTGCAGCCAGGCTGAGATGTTCTTTCCTGTGAGACCACAGACATAAAAGGGCACAGATGTAAATCCTAAACCTTGTGTCTTTGAGTGAGTTTCCACACACTTTGAAAACAGGAAGGGGTTTCTGTGTGTGCGCTCTTGTGAGTTTGTTTCTGTGGGAACATTTGGCGCATGTATGTGTTTCTGATCGAGATAAGCCTGAATCCTAGATGAATGATTTTAAGCAAACAACTTTATATTATCACATAAATGAATGAATGAGTGAAGTTTTTAAATAGGACAACATTTGGAGGCCTGGAAGAACATATACTTTTATCTGCTCAGTAAACGTTTGATCTCATGTTGTCCTGTCTTATGGATATATTGATAACTTGGAATAGACTTACTGGGTGGTAAAAGCCTTCCTTGATTTTTCCGTTTTCTAGAGGCAGAGATCCACTAGAAATCTACATGAATGTGAAACTAATTCACTTGCAAGATGATCTAATAGGTTGGTTTCTAACATTTATGTTGATGGCGATGATAATGTAATGTTATTCCCAACAGCAGAGAATGATGGGCTCTGTCATAGCAGTTTTGGGCCATCATCATGGTTTAGTGGTTTATCTTTCCCAAGTTGCTCCTGAGATGTATTGATGGATTCCCCCACAGCTAGATGGCTGCCTTGTCCCTCCAGCTTCCCTTGTCCCCCTTGGATTTAGAGTAACTATGATGAGGAGACTCTTGGCTCCCTGGGGACTACTCTTACATCAAAGTAGACCAGAGACGCTGCAGCGGTCGAAATTTGTGGTTACTTTTTTTTCTTGGTAATTGCAAGCAAAAGGTTTTAATTTTCCAAATGCTTGTGGTTCAAATTAAGATCATCTCAATATGTGGCTTTGATTGATGTATGAGAATAGTTTTCTGGCATTTGATATACATATGGGATTTTTTTTTTTTTTTTTGATTTATAGTTCCATAGCTTAGCGGAACCTAGAACATTGTTGTTGGGTTTGCAATAATGGAGGTGTTGGTTAGAAAATCATTGTTAGAACCTTTGTCTGAGTGAGCAGTTTTGACATTCATTTACTGGTTTATAACCCCAACTCAAAAAAAGTTGGGATGGTATATAAAATCAA